TTCCTGGACCCAGCACAGAAGCATACTGTGATGAATGACTGATTAGAAAAACTCAACAACCCAATAATTGTTCTCTTACCTCACCTGGATCGATTTGGTTGTGCCTCGGCTGTGATTGCCAGAAAGCCAGGCGTTCCTTGACTTTATTCTTGGGCATAGTTGCTACTGATGTAAGTTGGTGGCTATAAATAAAAGCCCACATGCAGAAGATATGAAGAGACACTTCCCCAAAGAGGACATCCAGATGGGCAACAGACACATGAAACGATGCTCAGCGTCCCTCATCAGGGAAATACAAATCAAAACCACACTGAGATACCACCTCATGCCAGTCAGAGTGGCTAAAATGAGCAAATCGGAGGACTCTAGATGCTGGCGAGGATGTGGAGAAACGGGCACCCTCCTACACTGTTGGTGGGAATGTAAGCTGCTGCAGCCCCTCTGGAAAACAGCGTGGAGGTTCCTCAAAAAATTAACAGAACTCCCCTAGGACCCAGCAATAGCACTGCTAGGAATTTAGCCAAGGGATACAGGAGTGCTGATGCATAGGGGCACATGGACCCCAGTGTTCACAGCAGCACTCTCAACAATAGCCAAATCATGGAAAGAGCCTAAGTGTCCATCAACGGACGAATGGATCAAGAAGATGTGGTTTATCTATGCAATGGAATCCTACATGGCAATGAGAAAGAATGAAATCTGGCCATGTGTAGCCACATGGATGGAACTAGAGGGTATTAGGCTGAGCAAAATAAGTCAGGCAGAGAAGGACAGATACCATATGCTTGCACATATAGGAGGATTAGGAGGAACTTAATGGAGGACCATGGGGGAGAAGAAGGGGAAAAATAGTAGGGGAGAGGGAGGGAGGCAAACCATGAGAGACTCTTGAATGCTGAGAACAAACTGAGGGCTAATGGGGGAGGGGGAGAGGGGAAAGGGGGTGATGGGCACGGAGGGGGGCACTTGTGGGGATGAGCACTGGATGTTATATGGAAACCAACTTGACAATAAACTATTAAAAAATTACAAGCCCACATGGACATATTCTGAAGGGAAGGCACTTACGGAGGCTTCCATAGGAAAGCACTCTAGATGGAGTGGCAGTGGTTTGGCTCTAAGACATCTGCACTCCAGGCCCTGCTCTGTTGGAAGCTCTCGGCCCATGTGTCGCTCCTGCGAGGTTGCAGACAAGATGGAGCTTTGAGGAGAAGCCTCCGGCAGACACAGCCTGCCCGGCACCTCTCGAGCGCCGCACAGGCATCGTTCCCTTTGTCTTCTGCCTGACAGCTCTGTAACCTTTAGTGGACTGGAAAGAAATGCCACTGGGGCCCAACCACTTGGGGACAGAAGGAAAGAAAAAGCTCCACCCTGAAAAGGTTGTCAATTTGTGGAAACGAAATGCCAGAGACAGATGCTGGTGACTCAACTGTTGTTTCCTGAGAACGAAGGAGGCCGAGAAGGCTGAGAGAAAGGGCCAAACCCTGCCAGGCATCTTCCCTGTGTTGCCGGCAATGGTGAGCCCAGAATTAAAAAGCCACGGCACAGTGTTGCCTCCTCCCTGAGAACCTGGAGGTCACAAAGCCTGAAGCTGAAATCCCTGACAGTCCATTCGACATTGACCAAGGTGGATGAGAGGCTGTGGGTTGAGCTTAGAGTGCTCGCATCCTAAAGAGAGGGGAAACCTTAAAATTGAGAGTACAGTCCTGCCTAACTTTCCTCCGCCAGGAAAAGGTCAATGAGGCCTGTTCACAGATGGCCAGATCACACTTGGTTGGAACAGCGGGGCCACAAGCCATCCCTGATTTTAACTCAGAAGCAGTAAATAGTATCACTGAATATTCTGAAGGGAAGGCTCGTGTGGAGGCTTGGAACAGAGCAGGGCTGAGGTGAGCGAACCGGCCCCCCAGTTTCACGTGCCTTCAGGCCCTGGGGTGGGAAGCTCAAGTTGCTTCCAGAGCCTTCCTGGATGGCAGCTGCCTGCCTGAATGGTGAGCACTCCTCGCAGAGCGGCTCCTAGAAGTGGCTGGAGGGGCCGGGGGCCAGCTGAGCACTGTCCCTGCCTCGTGCCACGGCCGCATGTGGAGCAGCTGCTGCAGCCTCTGCTGCGGCCACAGAAGGCAGCCTGGGCCACAGGAGGTGGAGAAGCGAGCCTACCCCCGAGAGAAGCCCCACCAGGCTCAGGATGGGTGGCCCTGCAAGTGCCCCAGCCTCTTCCTCCCAGCTGGGCTCCCAGGGGACCCTGATGACCCCTCTCAGTGCCCAGCCACGAAGTCTCGCCAGAACTGAGCCACTTTCCAAGTGGCCTCTGCCTTTGGCTACTTATGAATTCTACTGTCAAAGACTCTTGCATCTTACCCCAGCAATCCTATCTTTGGAGCCTGTGGCTAGAAACCTGCATCTTTTCAAACACTCCTGCCAGAGATGACCGCCCCAGGCAGCCGCTGGGGTCACAGGGCTATTAGCAACTCTTTCAACGGAGGACAGCAAAAAGGCGGCTTGCCCCTGCTGGCGCCCAGTCCCGGGCAGCACACACCGGCGTGATGCGCACGTCTTCCCAAAGGCAGTGGGGAAACGGGCTCTCAAAGCCACAAGCTGGAAGCACGATTGGAAGTACACAAGGCTTGGGCAGAGGACCCAGGTAGTCAGTTTTGAACTTCCTGACAGGGAGTAAGAAGAAGAGACAGTAGAGCCTCATTTGCTGGAAAGAACCAGAGATTCTGAGAAGTTGTTGTTTTCCTCTTTAATTTTTCCTAGACAGAGAGGTTTTCGCCTAAACACGTGTGAGGGCTGGTAAAATACACGAGATAAGAATATGAAGAACTATCTAAGGCCAACCAGCAAGAGAGCGTTTCCGACCGTGCCATTCCACGCTGGCTCCCCCCAGTTGGGTCCCTGGGGGAAGAGGCGAGTGACTCAATGCACAGGTCAGGGCCGGGCCCAGCCCAGCTTCATCTTCTGTACAGGCCAGCAGGATGCGATTTCTTAAAAAAGATTTCTTAATCTAAAACCAGCTGTTGTCTGCTGTAGGCCAGAACATGACATTTTAATTAGCATTATTGTTCCGCTCCTGAAACCCAGCTCCATGGCATCCCAGGGGCAGATGATCCCAACCCTGGCTTGCGGGCGAGGCTTGCTGGTGAGCAGCAAATACATGCACAGAGAGGGGGTGGAGTCCCCAGGCCCCTCGGAACCCATGAATCATGATCACCTGCTATACCCTTGCCCCGAATTGCTCCCTGTGGCCTGCACCACCTGTCTGTTCACAGGATAGAACCTTTGAGGTTTGTTTCAAATACCGAGGATGTAATACTCATTGTGCAGTTGAAATTGTTTTATGCTGTGTTGCCAGATCTAACCCACAATATTTCTGGGGGTAGTGGGGTACCTTAAATGGAGTTTTAATGCCCTGAGAAGTCCAGTGACTCCTAGGGTGATAAAGGTACACTAACAGAGCCCCCTGGGGCTCCCAATTATCTCAGACTGAAGTGGTCCTCTTCCAAAATCAAAGGGATAACAAAGTTTTTAAAAAGAAAAGAGAAAGAAAATACTTACCCTCAGAGAGGGAGACCTGGCTTACAAGCCAGCCACTAAGAAAGAGGCCACAGGGATGGGAAAAGAGCGGAAAATCTGAGGCGATGAGGCTGGGGGAACAATACCGAGGGTGATGTACGTGCACATACACAACGTTCACACGGCCCTTAGCTTCTGGCAGGGATTTCAGTGTGAGGCCCAACCCTTCTGCCCACCCCAGATCTAAGAAAACCAGCTAGGGAACCCCCAGAAAGGCCAGTGGTACTCACCACCCATGACAGCAGAAATCGTCTCTTGTTTCTATCTTACCCATCTCTGGGATTGTGAACATGAGACTAAGTGCCTTCCCATATCCCCTACTGACGAGAATGTAATTATTCAAATCAGAAGTATTTATTAGGCACCAGTGTTTGAATGCAAAACGAGGAATAATCACGGCTTCCGTGTGCACCTGTACCATGAACAGACGGCGTGGGGTGGGGGGGGGGGGGAGGAGGTATCTTGTCCCTTCCACCAGGACCAGTTCCGCACTCTTGCTCCTCTATGTGAGAGAGTGAGACTCTCATGATTCCCGCTTTCCATTTTGTTCCTTCCTTTCCAATCTTTCTCTGACCTCTCAAAGTCTATAGGAACACACTGGAAGTGACTCTTGTTAAAACTGCACATTGAAAATCGATAGCATAGAAACTATTCACCTTTGTGTCACTCAAGAGAACAATGGGTGGTATATTAGCGACTTCGACTGGCACACAACTAGGGTTCAGTAATTATAACCATATTCCAAGCAAATTGTTATGTATTTTGTGTTCTGGGGACATATGTTATGGCTAAAGCCCAAACTGTGGCTAATCTTAATATTAGAGCCAGATAAATCTGTTTCGAATCCATAACATCTAACATTTGCCAGAGTAGATTTGTTCATCAACGGGGCTTAAAGAGGTATAATTCACACATGTGCAGTATTACTAAATGCTGAATTTAACGATTTAAATATACCGGCAACTATTGCAAAGCAGTTGTTATAGCAGTATTTAACATTAGCCAGAACGTCCCTGGCTAACATTACATTTACACCGAAAGAATGAGGGAATTTTGGCATCCCCTTGGGGTGGGGATCACAACTCCCTCAACTTTTACAACATGGTACCAGCTACAGCACCTCAGGGGATGGCTATTAGAGGCCCTCTGCTTTCCCCAAGAACACCTATAAAACATTGACTGGATCTAATCAAGAAGTAGACAGAGTCCTTTGGAGGTTTTGGGAGACATCTTCTCTTAGAAGGCTTCCAGCTTGGGAATCTTCTTCCGCTCTGCACAAGGCACCAGAGAGTCCCCTGGGCTGTGTCCTCCTAGGCATGGTAGGAGATGTGGAAGTGGACTGGCGTTAAGGCCAGAAGATGGACTTAAAATACACACAAAAAAGAAAGTTCCTTGGGTAACCAATAATCAGCATTTAAGACAAAGTATAAAAAGGAATAAAAAATTACTTTAATCGTATCAAAAAGCCAAACCAAAGAGGAATGGTTCACGGAATTTACAGGATCCCAATCCGGCACCTGGTGCTCTGCCTATGCGTGGGTCTGGTACCCCAGGTCCTGGGGCATGTAGCAAATCCCACTAAGCTGCTGGGATTTTGAGCCAAATTCTTGGTTTGGCTTTTCCTCCTAAGAACTTACTGATCTGAAATAGCTAAAGGTGAGATATGGGCACCATTTACACGATTCCCCAGATCTAACACGGGAGGTAGGTCTGTCTGCATTTCCTTTCAGACTGTTCTCTGCAAACAAAGGGAGCCGGAGCTGGAGTTAAACCCAGAGCATGCCACAGAGGATTCCATTTGGCATTTCCAATAAGAGCCCATCCGGGCTCCTAAGAAACACCAGAATAGGGCGCGCACTGCTCAAGGTGCTTACACGCTCTCTCTAGGCTCCAGCTCTTGAGGCAGCAGGTTGGGTGTCACGGTCCAGTATGTCAGCTGAAGACCCCCCCATATCCACGCTGATATCAGGGTGCTGGGAGGCTGTGCTCTCCTACGTCGTCCTCACATAACATTCAGACCTCCCTCGGTGATCGGTTTCATAAGCTGCCGATGTTGGGGAAGCTCTTCAGTTTCTCAGGAAAGTCATCTTTGTACAGGACAGGGTCAGCTCGGTGCTCCACCACCTTGAGAGGCATCGTCCCAAACACTGAAGCAAACTTATTGATGCACTCGGACCTGAAGGGTTTGGGTGGGGGCGGGGACGCAGGAGAAGAGGGAAAGGGGTAAGGAAAAGAGAGAAAATGTTCAAGAGGCTGACGGATGAGAGCAACATATATCCTATCCAATATCAACAAAAGAAATCCAAGTATCGCGAGCCTGCTCCAGGTTCCTAAAAAAGGTCGGGAGGGTATGGGCAGACGAAGTGACCTGGGGCGCTGGGACTATTGGCTCAGGGGGAGAAAGTGAACAGGGGATGCTGTCTGGGCCTGAGCAGAGGTCAGAGTCTCTGTTCCCCTCCCCCTCGAATTCCAGTCATTCTTCCCCCTCAGTACACGCAGGCCTCAAACCAAGGTGGATTAGCTGCCAAGTCTTAACCCCATCTCTGCCAGCTACAGAGAAGGTGAAGGGTGGAGAGGGAAGGGGCGCCAGGAGCTGAGCTCCAGCTCGCTGAAGTTTAAAAAGCAGAAGAGAGGACCTTCCACCTGCAGCAATGGAAGGCAGAAGGGAACGGGCAGTGAGCCTCACTGCCACACAATAAACCCACCCAACCAACTTCTACGGAGGGCGATCCCGGAACTGCTGGCCAACTTCCCCGAGCTCCTCCCTGAGAGCGGGCGCTCCGTGCCAGCCGCTCCCGTGTCAGGACCAGCGGCGACAAAGGGCTTAGGGACAGAACAGCCCAGCAGCGCTGCAGGAGGGGGGACGGCAGTGTCCTTGACTCCATACCACCCCCCAGAAGCCCGTGAGCTCCTCAGAGGTGAGCAGGTCAGGCGCGCTGGCAGGAAATGGCTCTGGTCAATCAGGCCAACTGAGTGTGACAGCCGGGTAATGAGGACGCTCCTGCATCCGGACCAGAGGGAAAAACAAGCCCATAAACACCACTTTTGAAGTGAAGGGGACCTCAAGGATGCATTTCAGAAAGGTCAGTACTCTCTCCCCTCAAGTCGGGCCCCCCGCACCCGACAGCTACAGTAAGAACACACCAATCAGAGGCAGCACCGTTTACCCAAGAGGGAGCTGAATTCCAAGACAGACCAGAAGTGTCTTCTGTCCTGAGGTACTGCCAGCTTTGTTTCAAATTATTTTAATAAGTTTTATTTGAGTCTTTCGAGCTTTAGGAAGAAACCAATTAATAAAGAGCCAGTTATCATCAATTCCTTTCTCTTGTCATGCTATTTCTGAGAGAATGTGTTACTATTTCATTCAGATCTCTTGCAGCTAATAACATCCCTGTGTCCACCCCCATGGATCAACAGCTCACACTGATGACGGATTCCAGGCTGTGTTATATGTGCCCTACATGTATCAGGAGCCCACTCCACCCTCCCAGTGACCCTATGGGGTAGGTCCTCCGATTATCCCAATTTTACACTGGGAAGACTAAGACCGAGAGAGGCTGAAGGTCAAATAACCATCAGAGGCAGAGCCAAACCCAGGCAGTCTGGCTCCCAAGGCTAAAAAAATCTTCATTATAAGAGAAGACAAATTTATTTATGAACGTAAGTCTAGAATCCAAGCAGAGGGGTTGGAAATCAACAACTTTTGCGCTCCTGTTATGTGCCAGATAATTTACAAACACGATTTCATGGATTCCTTAAAGTGTCCCCCTCGATGTGCCCAATGGCTGGTTCACAGCTGCTTCCGGTTATGGGCTGACAAGCTGAAGTGGAGCCCTGAGGCCCCCAGGGCTGGAAAGTGCTGGAGGTGGGTGTCCAGCCAGGCCTGTACCAGCGAGAGCGCCTTTGGGCTTTCCATCACCCTACCAAGACGCGCTGGCAATGACCTTCCTCCTGCTGCCAGTCCTGTGAGGCTCAGGGGGTGGAGGCCGAGCCCCAAACTGAGAGGGGCCCAGGGAAAAGACTGAGGTGTGTACACAAAGTGGTGCTGAGGAAGCGCAACAGCTGCCCTGTCCTCGAAGTATAGGGTCAGGGCAGTGGCGGACAACGTCAGTCTCTCCGAGGTCTTAGCAGCTGTTCTGCCTATACACACGTACAGATTCGTCCAGCTTCCAGTCACCATGCCTGCAGGCCCTGGCCAGCAAAGCCCAGCAGTGCCCGGCACAGGTAGCGGTGAGTAGGTATGAGAGAAGAACCACAGTTCTTGGCAGAGGATGGGGCCCCACGGCCCGCTGCAGAGTACTGAGCACAATGTCTCCTCTGTAAACAGATCCGCCGACAGGGCCGGGCCACAGGCAGGAGGCCACTGGGGCCCAGGCCAGCTGGCTTGTTGACAGCTGCCCCTGGCTACCCCAGGCCTCGGGAGTGCTTCTTTCTCTCCACACAGCCTGCTCTAGAGAAGTGCTGGCTGCTTGGGGAGGGGGGTGGTAAGGGTCCTTAACTCCCCTCCAGGGACCAAGAGTGTGGTCTACTTTCCACACACGGGGCGGGGGTGGGGGGACAGGTTGGGGTAGGTGGCAAGTTTGGTGGTGGCTGGTGGCCGGTCTGAGTGGTTCCGTCAGGGGTCCAGCCGCCCTGGCAGTAAGTGCTCCCCTGGGCTGGTTTTATAACCTAGCCCAGGCAGGCTGAGGACCGCCAATGTCTACCTCTGAAGTGCTGGAAGTGTCTGCGGGAGAAAGGACTAAGGTTTTCTGTTTTCCTTGTAAACACCTACAATTACCTCACGTGACCTGGGGCCTTTAGGACTGCTGCTGGGGAGGCTGGGACGGAAATAACGTGGGGCCGGGCATCGTGCTACAGGCTTTCCTGTGTTATTACTTCGTTCAGTCCCAGCGTATAACACAGTCTTTGGTACCAAGAGGCTCAATAGGTATTTGTTGAACCCATGAATGGACACTGTACCTTGATAGATACTAACACACCTATTTTAGGGGATGAAAAGATTGGAGTTTAGCATAAGGTTAATCAGTTTTCTTAAGTCGATAGCTACTAAGTGACAAAATCACAATTTGAACAGGGACTGGCCTGAATAAAAATACAATGTTCTTTTTCTTAAGATCAGCACTGCCATATTCCCTTAACTTGTTGAAGCTATTGGTCAAAATGAACAGTTACAAGGTCTTCTGGTTTTCTAGCTCTTAAAGAATTAACAGCCAATATTGGAAATGGATGCTAGACAGTAAAAGCTACTTTACTACACAACTGTGATTTCTGCTCCAAGACCCCGAATATAAGAATAAATAAGCTTACTGAACCGCAAAACCCAACACAAGGTCATAACTTGCAAAGCAGTTAACTTGTTTCGCTGTTTTGTGCAAAATGTGAATTCTGCAAAGGGATGAACAATTCTGCATTTGTAACTCCACTTCTGGGTCTCCCCAAGATGGCTTAAATCATGCCTTCCTCCCTCCCAAGTGCCTTATATAAGTTAGTCATTCGATCTTCAATCCAAATAGTTTTGTTTCTAGTTTCTGATTTCAAGATTGATTTCCTCTGTCTCCTACCAAATTTCTCAAAAGGGTGTTCTACACACACTAACTCTACTTCCTCACCCCAGACTCACACTCCATCACCCTTAAGCCCCACTGCTCCATGGCATTATTTTTTTCAAAGTCACCAATAAGCATTTAATTCAAAGACCTTTCGCCGCTCCCCCCTTGCTTCTGTCCTCTATAGACCCTGGTTCTCTCCTTCCCTCGCCCAGTGGCTGCTTCTCTCTTTTCAGTTACTCTTTCTGTCTCCTAAATGCCAGAATTTCTCAAACTCCCACCCTCGGCTTTTCTTCAGTCAGTGGCCATCTCTGGGAAGAGGTCTTTCAGAGATCTACCTTTGTTTTCATCTTCCTCCTGAAGGTCCAGTTCCACGTTTCCAACTGCTCGCTCCATATCTACACCTGCACATACTGAGGGAAAGACGCCCACATCTCCACCTACCTTACTGCTCTCCAGCTTCACCCGTGATTAAAATCCTCTCCTGTCCTCGCTAATTATACTGTTAAAGGTGCAACCATCTGTGTTCCCTCCTCCCTTAACTGCTGTCTCCTCCTAACTGTATTATTCCCACTGTTGACAGTTCTATCACTCTTCCTGACTTGACACTTAAGCTCCCTCTGTCGATTCCTTCTCCATAAACTCAAGTTCTAGCATATCTTCCCTTGGAGAGAAAAAAAGCATCTCTGAATATTTAATCCATCCTTTCCTTTCCACACTCAACTTAGTTCAAGCTTTCCATTTCCATATGTGCTTTCTTCAATTTCTTCACCTTCATTCCACTCTGCACTACTTCCAAATTAATCTCAAAACAATACTTTGATCAAGCTCTGTTGTTCAAAAACTTTCAACGGCATATCAGAGCCTGAAGAAGTTCGTTCAGGCTCCTTCCCTGGGCAGTCCTTCAGGGCCTGGCACCAACAGACCAGAATTCTACACTGTAGCCACGCTGGACTCCTAACGGCCTGCCAGATACACCTTCAACCTGAAGACTGGAACCTTCAACCACCTGGTTTCTCCTGCCTGGGTCTCCTCCTCTTGCCCAGAGATCCTAATGATCTTTGAAGGCTTATTTCAAGAGTCATGTTTTACAAAATTATGCCTAGTTATCAACCTAGTGAGAAGCCACTTCTCTTTCCTCTGACCAATTATAACATTCTGAGCCTCCCTTATGGCACTTATCACATATAGCTTTGGATTGTTCACACACACACACACACACACACACACACACACACGACAGGAGGTGACACAGTGCACGTGTGTGTGTGTGTGGTGTGTGTGTGAATTTGTTGTTAATTATAAACTCTGATGACTCTGATTTAAGCCTATCAACATCTGGATAGTCACCTATTCTATTTTCAAAAGCCTGTTCCCAAGAGGAAGCCCCCCTTAATTATTATTAAATGTTTAATAATAATTATATCTAACTTAAATCTCTCTCACTACATTTTAAGTCTCTACATCTGTCATTTCAGTGGTGCTGGAGAAGAGTTGCTTAGCCTTAGCATGAACTTCAAGGCCATTATCAGGTCAACGTTTTTCCCTAAAATTCCTATCTTATACCATAAAACCTCATCACTTTAACTTAGCCTACTAAACAACCAATTGCGTAATACTATGAATTCTCCCAAACACAAAGAATGGAGGTGGGTTTAATAATAATTTCGTATACTCCAATGTAACTATAATTGGGGTCTCTTCCAAATGAGCAATGACAGTTAATGTCACTACCCTTGACTGTGTAATAACTATACTAGTGACAGATATTGCCAAAATCACAATAATATATTATTTCACACTGAGAGTTGATAAAAGCTATGTCATTTGGATAAAATATTTATATATGAAAGAGACAGAGAGGGTAGGAATAAGAAGTAGGAATAAGGAGTAAAGCATTATAGAAGAATCCAGGCCAAGTAAAACAACTTTCTGTACAAAAAGACCCTCTAGGCTTTAAGGATTTGAACGCAGCGGATGGATGCAGGATACAGACAGACACGCGGGACCGGGGGACACCTGCACTCGCTGTCCCATTCTCTGAGGGCTACTACAACAATGTGAGTGCACATTGGTCCCCTGACAGCACTGCTATGGGATGTCTGAGCTTGTTGTCTTATGTAAGGAGCTGCCTTTTGGAAGAATTGGGTCTGATTCAGGAGACACCAAGCTTGGGGACCTTTGGGCTACAAGCAAGGGCGATGAGGTCACCTGAAAGATGATAATGATCGTAAGGGAAGATGCACATTTCCCACTCCTTTTACACTCACTCCCCTACGAGGCTTAGTATTATGTTCCACACAAAGATGTGCTTGTTGACCAAGTGACTGAATTGAAATAAAAGGAGAATTTCAGAGCTGCCTCTCTGTGTGTAAAGAACTATGTTTTCCATTCTGTTCTTCGTAGGTGCTTGGTCAGCAAAGGTAATTTGTCTCTCGGTTTTGCTTCATTCTTTCTAATCAAACTTTTATTGCCACATGGAGATAATACCTTGCAAAACAATGTAGTATTTTCTTGGAATTAACTAGCCTCCACTCAAATGGCCGTGGATGGCTGACTGCTAGTCTGCACGGAGAACCTGACATCGGGAGCTTCAGGTCAGCTATATTTTTAAGACCCTTCCAGCCATTACAAATTGAGTGAGTAGCATTCCAAATTAATTCTTTGGGTGACCTGGGCTTGAACTAACCCAATTCCCACAGTGCACAGGGAGGTGACTGTGACTACCAGCTGCTGTCCTTACATCTCCAACAAGTCCCATAAACAGGCCCAAGGCAGGAAATGGGGATCAGCGGCTAGGGCAGACTTTGGTCAGAGGCTCACTCACCTCTCCACCATGTGCGTCTGGTCTAGCGAAAGCCCGTCAATGGCTGTGCACTCGGGACACTTGAATTTCTTTCGCGGTGTCACCTGCCAGAGAAGTACAAAAATACACCTGGCCGTCAGTGCCAAGGACGATAAAATCACGCCTGTGACAACACCGTGCATCCTTCTGCTCTGTAAGCTGAGCTGCCTGTTCCCTCACATGCACACACATGCGTGTGTGCACGCACACACACCCCTCGCCGTTCCTCCACTCAGTTCTGTCTGGCTTGGCCAACGGCACAACTCACAAGGGCCCAATAAAAAAGGCTTGGAGGGCTTTTGCCTTCTGTAACTGGAAAGAAGTGGTGATGACAAGCTCCTTAATTCCTGTTTAATGACTGTTTTCTCACTGCCAAGGTCCTTGTATAAACACCATTTGTTCTTGCAGCCATAAGGGCGATGAAATACAGCTTCCCATAACTTTCACCGTAACCTCGGTTCCAACAGGCACTCTTTTTCCACCCTCCAGCTAACAGCAAGTGCTCTGAGCAGCACCATGCTCTCGAAGACGCCAGCTTATTTTGCGATTCCCTTCAGTCAGGAAAAAAATCCAAGGGTCCCTCACCCTCTGAATTCTTTTCCCTGACTCTCCCTCCCGCTCTCCCAAACCTTAAACTGCTAATGATTTTCTTAACAAACCCAGGCAGGCTGCTATCCAAACCTAGGGAAGCTAAGCAAACAGCAGAGAGAGGTTGGGCGGGGGGAGAATGCTAGATAACTGAAGCCAGGCTAGGAAGCACCTCGATGTCAGGGCTACAGTCCGGAGAGAGCAGGCACAGCGGAAGTACCTTGAAGCACAGCAAAAAGCAACTCTGGAGATAAGAGGAATTCAAAACTAATTTCGTGATTTACTTATTGGACTTTTTCTTGCAGTGAGCTATTGACTAAGGTAGAGAGCTGGGGCGGGGCGGGGGGACTGGGCCAGGTTTGCAGAGCACAGACAGGGACTCTTTTGTAGTTGGTTTGGTTTAATCTGGCTTCTCCCATCAATTAACAGCATGAACAATCAGCGGGGGCCATACTGCGCTTCCATGTACTCTCAGTACAGGAATCTGCCCTAGAAGGACTGCCCATTTTTATGTGGAATCTTAATCCAGAAGGAAAAAAGGTCAGGATGATTCCACTCATAAAAAGGAGGAAACTCTCTCTTCCTATCTGGGGATCTGGGTTTGAGTGAAATCTGCGTTTCAGGGACAGACATCCATCACAGACGCAGAGATCCCCACGTGATCCTTATGTACTCTCAGCTTTTATTTAGTATTTTTACTCTCAGTTTTTAATATGTTAAGAGAAAGGCACTTTTAAAAACTGGTAATTGATATTCTAAAATGCTGAGAAAAACTACAGTTATAATTGTACAAAGTGTACTATCTTCTCAACGTTTACAAAAAATAAAAATCGGCTACTTTAAGAAAGATGTAGGTTATATTCTTTAACTAACAGATCTAGGTTCCCTATCAGCTTTGAGAATACAGTTAAAGTTTTTTAAACACATGATTTGTAGACTGTTCATCTCGGCCTTTATCTCTGAGACTGGAGCTTAAAAACTATGACTAAAGAAACCGTACTTTAAAAAAAGAAAATATGTTTAAATTATCAAAGCCTAGCTTTGGCGTTACAATGTGATCACATCTTACAAGCTAGAAGGGAACTTAAAGTTGCCCAAACCAGCACTTTGTTTATAGTGATGAGGACTTCTCAGGCTCAAAGAAACAGACTTGCCCAAGATCACAGTTAGTGGCAGAGCTAGACCAGGACACCTCCTACCTTGATGACAGCTTTCCCCGTGACGTTGGCTACCAGGAAGTTCATGGCAATGTCTTCACAGTTCATGTGTGCATCCACCCAGTTCTTGATATCTCCGGGCATTTTATAGGTATACAGGTAGTTAAAATACTGTCGGGTAAGACAAAAAGAAGAAAGATTCCAATAGCAGTGGGCTATGGTTGATGGGGCCACTTAATGGTTGATGGTTAAGACAAAGAGCCACTTAATCATGGCGTGGAGATAAGCTTTCTCACCTAGGATTAATCACAAGGCTATAAGAAGTATTAGAATGCTTTTGGTTAGGTGATCAAGTATCTTTAATACTGTCATTCTTTTAAAATTCACCTATTGTTGGGGCCCCTGAGTGGCTCAGTCGGTTAAGCATCTGATTCTTGATTTCGGTTCAGGTAATGATCCCAGGGTCCTGGGATGGAACCTCATGTCAGTCCAGACTGTGTGGAATCTGCTTAAGATTCTCTCCCTTCCGGGGCACCTGGGTGGCTCAGTTGGTTAAATGTCCAACTTTAGCTCAGGTCATGATCTCACAATTGTGAATTCAAGCTCGGCATTGAGTTCTGCACTGACAGTGTGGAGCCTGCTTGGGATTCTCCCCGTTGCCCCCTCTCTGCTCCTCCCTTGCTTGTGCTCTCTCTCTCTCAAAAATAAACTTAGAGGCAAACCATGAGAGACTCTTGAATGCTAACAAAAACTGAAGACTGATGGATGTGGGGGGGAGGGGGAGTTGGACATGGAGGAGGGCACTCATGGGGATGAGCACTGGGTGTTATGTGGAAACTAATTTGACAATAAACTATTTGTAAAAAAACCAAACAAAACAAAAAAATAAACTTAAAAAAAAATTCTCTCTCTCCCCCACTTGTGTGTGTGCTTTCTCTCTCAAACAAACAAACAAATAAATAAAATAACAAATAAAAATCACCTCCTGTAAACAGCATATGTAGAGTGTGAAGCCCTTGTAGGATGCAGATGCTTCAGACTCATGAATCATGTGTTTAATAAAATTTCATTCAGAGACACACTATATACTGATCTCTACTAAATTCTTCTCCTTGAGTCACAATGTTCAATCCTCTTTTCTACATTCTTTCCACAGAATGAAAACAGAAACAGAGATAAATTAATGGTGGGCTGACACTACAAAGGTATGCGCTTTTTATTTTTTTGAGAAAGATACAGAGAGCAAGTGGGGGAAGAGAGAGAGAGAATCCCAAGAAGACTTCACACTGTCCATGCAGAGTCCACTGCGGGGCTCAAACTCAGAAACTATGAGATCATGATCTAAGCTGAAATCAAAGGTCCAATGCTTAACCGACTGAGCCACGCAGGCACCCCAGTATAAGCTTTTTAAAGTAAAATATGAAGTGAGGCAATTCTGGCACTGCCGTAACCTACATGTATGAAATAGTGTGGAAATTCAAGGAGAAAAAAAGTGTACACACTGTATTACCATAAATCCCTAGAAGTATAAACTTTATTTATTGCTAAGAGCAAAAACCCATTTCTAAATTAAGAGCCCTGAAAACTACACAGCAGTGCTGAGAAACCAACAAGCAATCACTATGATGCTGCTCTGTTAATGTAAGGACTCTGGGGTCAGCAGAGGCACAGAGGTTCCGCTGACATCAGTACCTCGTGCTACTGCCAACGAGAGACAAGCTATTACAGTCCACGTACGCCCCACACTCCCTGGGGTGCACCATCACCAAACTGAATATCCTAACGCCCAATATGCACTCTTCTACCTCTCCCTGATAAAAAAAAAAAAAAAAAGTCAAGCACATGAGGTGACAATTCTCAGAAGAGAGGAAACATGGAAGGCACAAAAGGAGTTTCAACCACAGTAATCAAATCAGAGTGAAAAAAGTAAGATCCGTCTTCACTCATCAAGACAGCTGAGCTTGATGTTCTCTTTTTACTGATTTTGGCGGGGGGGGAGGTTATAGTAAGATAGTTTTATATTTTGCTGGGAGTGTAAATTGGCACGAACAACACTGAAAACAACAGATAAATATATATGTCAAAACCTCCCCAAAATGTTTATTCTCTTTGATATAATTCTACTTCTAGAAATCTATCATAAGTACAATTATGAAAATTGGATACTGATCACTATTGAAGCATATAAGATATTAAGCTCATCTAAATAGCAAAATGAAACAAAACACAAACCAAAACCAAACAACAAAACCCACAAAGGGGTGCCTGGGCAGTTCAACTCTTGATTTCGGCTCAGGCTGTGAGGTCAGGGGACCCATGCTGAGCCTGGAGCCTGCTTAAGCTTCTCTCTCTCCCTCTGTCCCTCTCCCCAACTCATGTACTCTCTCTCTCTCCCCAAAGAGAAAGAAGTAAAGTAAGTAAATAAATAAAAATAGTAGATAAAAAAATTAGAGACAATCTAAATATCTAGTGATAGAAGAATAGTTATACAAGATTTATGGAATATTAACACAATAACATATTAGAAATTATGTTATAAAGAAATGTTAATGTTAAGAAAACTCATTATATATGCAAAAAGCAGGCTAATGAAGATATTTACAACAGTATGTACATGTGAATAAGTAAATAAATAAGAGGCAAACTGGAAAAAACGTCTATACGATAACAGTGGTCATCTCTAAGTGGTGAGACTACCAAGTGACTTGCCTTCCATAATAAAATTTGTTCTGAATTTTCCATATTTTCTATTATGAGCATATGCATTATCTGTATAATAAGAAATATAACTAAAAAAAAATCACACAACATGGGCTTTCTTTTTTTAACTAGTGTAGTTGACACTAGTTACATGTGTTACACTAGTTACATGACAACATGACCTGGACTTATAAGCCCTCTGACTAGAGCACATTTCCTAAACTCAGCAGAAATTCAACTGGCCAAACGGAATAAATAGCATGCGCTCAGTTTCATCATCTCAGACCCACCTGCCCCCCTTTCCTGTCCCCTCTTACCTTGTGATAAAAAGCTGCCCCCGTGAGCACCATGGACACCTCGTTGGTCCACTCTGACTCATACTTCCACTTATTCATCTCATGGTCCCAGAGATGCAGACGACCTGGGTAACCCACCAACCGGTCAGGAAATTCCCGCCACACCTAAGGCAAGAAGTGAATCAACAATCAATCCCTGCCCAGTTCAGACAACGACCAAGCTCAGTGTTAAGTTATACACATGGTATGCAGACTCCCGGGGCTGAGCTCTTCACCAGCTTGGGTCAGAATGGGCCCCTGAAGATGTTCAATTAAACAGATGCTGGTTATTCCGTCAAGATTCAAAGACAGATGCGAATTCTAACTTCCTCCAAATCTTCCTGCGGTTGCTTAGAAATAGCTTGCTGAATTGGACCAAGATAGGTAGTCTCCTAACAAATGATTATGGACATAGGTTCCGTTCTTAATGAATGCACACATGAAGAATAAATGGAACCCTGCAACTCAACTGTCTAATTTATATTAAATTTGGCAATTGTGAAAAAAAAAAAAAAAAAAAAAACAAGTTCTCTGGAGCACACAGCCATTCCTGTGACCTGTTAGTAGCCTCATGTATAGAGAATGTGCCTAATTCTTTAATCTGTAACACACTGAAAACAAAAATTTGATTTCCACATTTGGAAAGGTTCTGAGATACGGTTTTGAGAAACAAACTTTGGTATACTGCGGGTGAGGTATCTTTCCCCGTGCATTTCTGTATAATTTAACCCTTAACAAAGAGGATGTGCACACCACTGAAGAGGACTGACTGTTTCTCAGCTGTTCACGCTGCCACCTCTCAGCACCAGGATTCCTCCTCCTTTACCAGGCCCCTGAGGCTCCTGAAGGTCCGGTCCTGTGCCCTATTCTTTAAAATCTCTAATTTCAACTAGTTTTCATCCCTTTAAGTACCTTCTATAATCTACTGACCTCTAAATTTGTTTGGCCCAGAATGTTCCAGAGCTAACCAACTACTTACTTAATGTCTTCCCCTGGATAAACAATAGGCATCTCAAACTTAACGAGGCCCACACGTAACTCTGGATTCCACATCCCCAGATGAACCATTTTCTCAATCTTCTCATCTCAATAAATCCACTACCTGGCTGCCCCAGCCCAAAAGCTTCAAGACGGCCTTTACGCCTTCCTTTCCTGCTCCGCTACACCCCATCCATCAGCAAGGCCTGCTGGCTCTACTTGTGACCACCTCTTGCCAATTCTCGCGCCCCTCTCTTTCACCCACACTGTTGTTAATAGGGCTCTACCTTGTCTCCTGGCTCCACTCTCACCCTTCCAAACCATTATTTATAGAGTATCTCTAAAAGGATATTCCTAAAAGAATATTAGAGCACAGATGGTCCCGGACTTAGGATAGTTCAACTTATGATTGTTTTGACATTTACAACAGTGCAAAAGCAATTCACATTCAGTAGAAACCATATTTTGAATTTTTTGAATTTGGATCTTTTCCTGGTCCAGCAATCTGCAGTATGACCTTTTCTCATAATGCTGGGCAGTGTCTGCGAGCTGCAGCTCCCAGACACCACGCGAGCATGGGGTCAACAATCTAGAACCATCCTGTACCCAGACTACTATTCTGTTTGTCACTTTCAGTACAGTATTCGGTAAATTACACAAGATACTCAACATTTTATTATTGTAAAACAGGCTTCGTGTTAAATGATTTTGCCCAACTGCAGCTAATGCAAGTGTTCTGAGCACCTTTTAAGGTAGAATAGGCTAAGCTGGGATGCTTGGTAGATTAGGTTTATTAAATGCATTTTGAATGTACACTGGACTTAACAGGTAACCCTATGGCAAGGTAAGGAAAATCTGTATTCTATATGGGGTAACTCAACCAACAGGCTGTATCCTATTATATGTGAGTGTGTGTATATGTGTGTCTATTTTTTTAATTAATATCATCTGCATTATATATGTCCCCGCATATATAAGTCATACGGTCACATGCTGCAGCAAGCAGAGGCTTCCCCAATGCCCACGTGTCGCTGAGTCCAGGGAGCATGTGTCATTGCTTGCCCAGAGGCACAGCCCGTGGGCCAGCACCACCGCCCCCACCCCATCCTTTTGCGGTTTGCCAGGGCCACTGGAATAGACTCACTACACCAGGCGGCTTAGCGCAACAGAAATCTAGAAGTCTGAGGTCAAGGTGCTGGCAGGGCCATGCTCCCTTCTGACACCAAGAGGGGAAGGATCCTTCTTTGCTGTTTACCAGTGCCAGTGGCCAGCTGCCCATCTTGGGCATTCCTAGGCTGTGGATGCATCCCTCCCAACCTCTGTCTTCGTATGGGCTTCCCCGCTCTGTGCGTGTGTCTCTGTGCCCGAAATCTTCCTTTTTATAGGGACACCAGTCCAACTGGATTAGAGCCCACCCTAATGACCTCACTTTTTATTTTTTTATTTCTAGGAGAGAGAGAGAGAGAGAGACAGCGTGAACAGGGGAGGGTCAGAGAGAGAGGGAGATACAGACTCTGAAATAGGCTCCAGGCTCTGAGCTGGCAGTCAGCACAGAGCCTGACGCGGGGCTCGAACCCATGAACCACGAGATCATGACCTAAGCGAAAGTCGGACGCTTAACCAACTAAGCCACCCAGGAGCCCCCTTAATGACCTCATTTTAACTTTAGTACCTGTGAAGATCCTATTTCCAAATAAGGTTACTAAGGGTTAAGATGTCAACGTATCTTTCTTAGAGGGACACACTTCAACCCAACACCCCCAGAATCTTTAAGAAATGCTCTAGCTCTGAAACAAAACAAAGAATGGAGTCCCATGATCGGAGTAACAGCCAAATTCCTTGGCAACCTCTTCCACCACGTTCTTCCACATTTCAGTGGTCTTTCCATTCTTTCATCACAACTCTGTGTCTTTCTTCTGATAGGGATACTGTCCCAGCTCTTCGAAAAGCTAGTTCTTCCTCATCAGTCAGGTCTCTGCTTAAATGCCGCCTACTTTTGAGAGGCCCTTTCACTTTCCTAGCCAAGGGGACACCTCTCCCACCAAGCCATTCTCCATCACATCCCCTCGCCCCATCTTCTTCTTCACCAAACTTTCAATTTTTGAAATTGCTCTGCTTGTTTATCGTTTCCTTATTTTTTATTTCCACGAGGACAGAAGTTTCGTCTTACTTCCTCAAGCACAAAGAACAGCGCCCACACATGGCAGCGTTCTGTGTGCACATTTTGAATGTACGAACATAGAGGCTCTCAGAAGGCAAAGAAGCTGAGACTAGAAGAAGGGACTGCAGATCAGAACCAGTTTCTCCTTTAGTCAGAAAGTCTGCAACAGTACCGCTCAACAGTTACCATTCATAGTCAGGGGATATCCTTTGCGTGTGAAGATGACAGTAATAATTCAGCATCACGAAAGCACATGTTCTAAACTGCTTCTCCAGAAGTGGGGACGGGATATTGCCATTGTCGTTATACTGTCGCACCCGGCCCTCCTGTGATCACCCACATGCTTTTATGGGCTCTCTGATCTGGGTCTTGAGCGTGGCCTGGGGTTTCCTTTGTGTGAAACCGGTTCACCTAACGGGCCTCTCAAAACCACAACCTTGGCCTCATTAACACCATGTTGTAACCAACAGAGTTAATCAGCCAAAGCCATCGTTATAATAGCTGCAGACAAACGAAGTCATGTCACACATTTCCCCCGGTGTGTAAGGCTGCTGCTGTGTTCCTACTCTGAGGCTTGTATTTCAGCAGATTAAGATAATCTGACACTATTACGGTTTTATAGAGCCCAGAGCAACAACCTAGTATGTGAGCTGTAAGTGCTCACACTTGGTTTGTGGGCCCCGGTGCCCCCGTTACGTGCATGGCCATGCATCTGCCAGCCCCGAGCACCTGCCTGTCCCAGTCACACCGCTACTGCAGTCACCTCAGTGGAAATAAAGAGCTTCTGAAAGGCCCCAGGCACAAGTAAGTAACCTAAACACCAGGGATGGGCAGTGTGGTGGTGGTGTGGGGGGAGGCATCCATTTGGCTGGCAGCCTTACCGGATGCAAGCTGCATCTACCTCAACCCCACATCTACTTTGAGTCAATAAAGCTCTGCATTCCCTGTGCTTTCTCACAGGCCCTTCTCTGCAAGCCCCCGTTTGCAGTACCCATAACAACACTAGCTCGGTTTTAGGGTCAAACGCTGTCAGGATTTTGGTCTTCTTCCTGTTAGCTGAAGCCACTTATCAGACTTCTCTCCTCAGGGACCTAATTCAGTGACACTGGGTCACAGAATGCTGAACTACACTGTTCTGAAAGCATCAGAGGTGTCCTGAACTTCAGATTCCTTTGGAGCCGTTGGTGAGCGCTGTTCCTCAGGCGGGGCCTCTCTGCCCTTGACTTACTCCAGGCAGCTGGATACAATCAAGATACCATCCTTGTCACTTCATCTATAACTCTGCAGCTGACTATGGGATCAAAACGGAGTGGGGCCGGGCGGGATGGGCCCTCTCTAATCGAGCCCCAGTGTAGCACAAAGTCGATTATGTAGACAGTAAAGCATCTTCCCAGCCAGAAGAGCGAGAACTCAAATTCCACCCCCTATCCTCATGGCTACCCACCTCCCACTCTAATTCAACTTTTTTTTTTTTTTTTTAACCTCGGGGAAATGCTCTGGGGTCAGCCTTTTGTCATTACTAACAGATGCCTTTATATACTGTGCAGGCATCTGAAACATCACACCATACCCCTGGAGTTCTAGCAATAGTGCTTCCACAGCTCTGCTCAGGCCACTGAGCCATCACTCGGTTGTTTGCCTGCACTGCTGAAGTCCTCTGTACAGATGGCCCTCATCTATTTTTTTTTTTTTTAATGTTTATTTGAGAGAGAGACAGAGACAGAGACAAGAGACAGCATTGGCTTCCCAATGCCAGTGGATCAAACGATGACCATCTACCTTTGTTTAAAAGGCACGGGAGGCAGCCTGGATTCCCTGCTATGGACAGTGCACTAAGGGGACGTGGCTGAAGTAGCTCCAGGCCTCGCTCTGCCACTGATGAGTTGTGCAAACCATTCAGGTTGTGCTGCTTTTGTTCTGCCATCTGCAAAAGGGGGGTCGGACTAAGTGACCTCTAATGTCTGAACTTTCAGGGCTAAAGTCTTCT